ATTGCACTCCAGCCTGGGCAACAAGAGCGAAACTCCGTCTCTGTCTCAAAAACTGGACTTGTTATTTTGATCATGTACAAAACACAGGTAAGTCTGATGCTCTGGGCACATGGGATGCTGTTAACAGTTGGAAGAGGGGAGAAACATTTCTTGAGGTGCTAATTGAAGTGCTTGAAATACTTTATGTTATTTAATCCTCATAACCACACTGAAACATCGTTGTCCTAGTTAAGACTCTTCAGCTAAGACTCTTCAATTGCAAGAAACAGAAATCCATTTCAGACAGCTTTAAGTCAAACAACAACAACAAAAAGCATTTGTTATATGGGCGTAAGGTTATTTCACAGAACCCAAGAGTAAGAATGCAGCTGGGTCTTCAAGGCTGAACCAAACCAAGTGCTCCTTGAGGCTCTAAATATATTTTTCATCTCCTAGATAAACCATATTTCTATATGTTAAACTGAATATTTCAAAGGAAGTCACCAATAATAGGTGCCTTGGGGGCTTCCGTGAGGGTTCAGGGCCCTGGACATTACCGCTCCACTCCTATCAGAACAGCTCTGTTTTTATTTGGTTAATATATCAGGATTCTGCTTAAGAGTTCATTGAGGAAATAGCACAACAGTACCTCCTCTGGCCAGATACTGTGCGAAGAATTACAAAATAAATCACAGACGAGTGGAGAAGATAGGAAAGTAAATACACTCTAAAACAATAAGGGAGTACAGTGACAGAAAAACGCACAGATTATTAAGGGAACTCAAAGAAAGTCTAGTAAACCCAGAAAGGGCTAGGGCTTATGGGAGGTTTCACCGAGTGGGTACCTGGAAAGGGGAGGTAAGGCAGCTCAAAGGACACTTGCTCAATGGAGGGAAGAGGATTCAACAATTATGCAATTCGCTGAGTCGGGGCTATCACTGCGAAAGAACTTGGCTTCGGATCCGCGGTCAAGGCTGGGAGCTATGGAGGCCGGATGTGATTGGCAGAGACCTCTGCTCAGGTCTGCGTCAAGTCTTGCTTCGCTCCCATCCCATCCTGCGCCAATGGGGCGCAGTATCCCAACCATTCCACTCGGCTAGGAGGGGATCCTAAGCCTCAAGGTCCGCATCTCCGGCTGGAGGGACTGAGCAGCCGCACTGGTGTCCCAGAATAGATCTTGTTCCCCAGAGGTTGTCAGGTTACCGCAATTCGGCGCAAGCAAGGCGGCCAAAGAGAGGGCGCTCATTGGCTGCCACAGCCCCAGTCGGAGAGGGGGAGGAAGGTTGATTCGTCACAGGCTGTCTGCGCAGGCCACTCCTATCTCCTCTCCAGGTTCTAATTAGGTCAGTGGCCCTACAGCCTCTTGGGTAGTTTGGAAGTGCGTCGCGGAGCCGGCCCTGGAAATATGGCGTCAACTTCAGGTTTTGGTGTGAGGGAGCCGAGGGCCCAGCCAAACCCTGCGGGGGGCAATTCCTGGGTACCCTTCCCACATTTTCGGTCTTTGGGCTGCGCCGTGGTAACACCAGAGCCTAGTTGCGTGCCCACCGGCGAGAAGTGTCTTTGCATTAGGACATGAAAGGGGACTGGAAAGTGCCGTGCAGTTTCAGGGTAGTTTCTGGTTAATTACATTTTCATGGGTTTTCGCAGAGTCTGGGGGCAATTTGTGTCCTTCAGAGACCAGGGACCTGGGCCCAAGCTACGGCAGGGGAGACGCAGCCAAGGCTGTGCGAGCTCGCTTCTTGTGCGAGCTCCGTTCGCGTCCGTTCCCGCCTTGCGGCCGTCCCTCCGTCAGCCCAGGTCCTTGAATGAGACAGTGCTCGCCCTTGAAAAAGCAGTTCTAGGTCACTCGGCCTGCTTTTCCAGCATTCCGGGCCCCAGCTCGCTTTCTGCCATCCATGTTGACAGCACCAGTTCTACGACGAAGCGAGCGATTCCTCTTGCCTGGAATTTCACTCGTCCCTGGTATCGAACCCTCTGCCCCAATTTTCTACCTTACAACTCCAGCGTATTTTTAACAGCTCAGCCAATATCACTTCCTTGGTATAAAGCCTGCGCCGTGCTAGCTTAGGAACAGGAGCTATACCGTTTTATTATTTTTCTTTATTTTAATTTTGCTTTTATTTTTCATTTTTTAGAGAGGTGGGGTCTCGCTGTGTCGCCCAGGCTAGAGTGCAGTGGCGGTATCATGGCTTACTGCAGGCTGGGGTCAAGCAATCCTCCCGCCTCAGCCTATGGGATTATAGGCGCAGGCCTCTATGCCATTGTAAATGCTGTGGGTTTTGAGTATTTGACCTCTATGAGCCTCAGTTTTTGCATCTTAGCATTGAGATAATACTAATACCTCATAAGGTTATGTGAGGATTAAATGGAAAGCTCTTACAAGTGCTTAATAAGTATGTTATCATATGTGCTTCCAAAGTACTTTGGTGTAGGCCTTTTATAACTCTTGCCCTTTCTGTTACCATTATTTGTTCTTGTCTGCCCTACTAGACTGAGATTCTCAAAAGCTGGAACTGTCTTGTTTATAATCTCAGCATCTATCAGTGCTGGGCAAATGTAAAGCTAAGAAATGATTTCTTCGAAAACTTTTTAAAAGCAGTCTTTCTTCTCCTTTCCCTTTCTTCCTTTCCTTCACTTTTTCCTCTTTGACATAGGAATTTTCAAACCTACAGAAGAAGCTGAGACCCTAGGGGGAAAGATTGGGACCTTTTGTTGTTTTTCTCCATGGTGACCAAAAGAGCCTTAACATTCACCCCAGTCTGACAACTTTAGACAGGTTTCTTCTGGACGTTAGGCCCCTGACCTCCCCTTTCTTTGAGTGTTAACTTTAGAAAACTTGTGATTGCAAATTCTTCTCTGCTCCTTTGAAATGTATATAAATCTCCTTAGAAGCTTATGCCAGTTTCACGACCCAGGGAATGTCTTTCTCAAGGACCTGGGAGCCATCCCTTTGAAATGTAATTATCAAGGAAGATAGCACCCCTCTCAGTCTCCGTGGGAGGGTGGGAGCCTAACCTGTGGGTGCCTTGTTTGGAATTGTAAAACTACAGCTTGTTTTGAAGATACAAGAAAGTTTCCTTTTCCTTTGCAATTAGCAAACATAGAGGTCATGTGATTTCCCCCATAGCAGCTCTTGAAAACTTCCCAGACCTTTGTTTCAGTAGCATTGAGTTTAATCTCATATTGCAGTAGTCTTAAGGTCTTTCTTGCCTGTTTAACTTTGATGCAAATTTTGACAATGAAAATTTTAGGTTCTGCATTTATTGTTTCTTCCCAATTACAGTGATTTCTCCTTTCTCCTTGTTAAGAAGAGCTTCTCACATCCTCTGATTTCTGGAGAAATCAATTTGGACTCAAAAGATTGGAGTTTTGTGGAGTGAAGCTACTGTTTTTGTTTTGCTTTGTTTCTTTGTTTTGTTTTGTTTTGTTTTGAGATGGAGTCACACTCTCTCACTCAGGCTGGAGTACAGTGGTGGAATCACGGCTCACTGCAGCTTCCGCCTCCTGGGTTCAAGTGATCCTCCCGCCTCAGCCTTTCAAGTAGCTGGAATTACAAGCATACGCCACCACGCCCAGCTAGTTTTTGTATTATTATTAGAGATGGGGTTTCACCATGTTGACCAGGCTGGTCTTGAACTCCTGGCCTCAAGTAATCTGCCCACCTTGGCCTGCTACAGTGCTGGAATTACAGGCATGAGCCACCACGCCCTGCCAGAAGCTACTGTTTTAAGTCATCATTGCAAAGGGTAATGTGTGATGTGCATGAGTGGAAAGGGCAGTACATCTATTTGAGAGCATCCCAAATGAGGTCCATTCATATTATGGAAGTGCACTGGGAAATAAAGAACAGGACTACCCCTTTGTTTATTTATTATGAAGAGGTATGAGAAAAATGCAATTTTCAAAGAAAGAGAACTGCTGAGAATGTAGTACCTTCTCAAAGAAAGCTGTATTTGGTTAAGGTGAGAAGCTAGAGGAAGCCACAGAGGGCAGGGTTACAAATCAAAAGACTTCTGCAATGGTGGAGGTAGTATGCAGAAGGGTTCCTTAAAATACAGGGATCCGTGTAAGATGAGGAGGTAAGGTGGAGTAGGATTGAGGTGGAATGAATTGAAAGATGGAAACGAAAAAGGAAGGCAGTAGGGGAAGAGGGGAGTTAATTTGGGGTATGGATAACAGGGAAGGAAATAGGTAACCTGAGAAGCTTGGTAGAGGCACTTACCACTTGCATGGGAAGGGAAATATCATGCAGACGGTCCTGTTGCTAAAGGAAGCTAGAGGATTTAGGAGAAGGGGTTTGGCACACTGGCCTGTGTCACCCATCCCTCCCTGACAACACACTACACAGACAAATTGAGTGCACTGTTGCCATTTAGTATCATTCTCCCCCCACGACTGGTGGAAGCTAAGAAGATGAAGTTCAGGGTGCTGATCTTTTTTTTTTCTCTGACTTTTCTTATGTGAATACTTATCCCTAGTTTCTTTTTCTTCCCCTCCCTCCTTTGCTCCCTTCCTCCCTTCCTTTCTTCCTTCCTTCCTTTTTTTTTTTTTTCTTTTTAAATGAGATAGGGTCTTGCTGTGTTGCTCAGGCTGGAGTGCAGCAGTGCTATCATTGCTCACACAGCCTTAACTTCCCAGGCCCAAGCAATCCTCCCACCTCAGCCTCCTCAGTAGCTGGGACTACAGGCATGTGCCACAATGCCCAGTTATTTTGAAAAGTTTTTGTAGAGATGGGTCTCCCTATGTTACCCAGGCAGGTCTCAGACTCCCTCCTCAGCCTCCCAAAGTGCTGAGATTACAATCATGAGCCACTGCACCCAGCTCTTTTCTTCTTGCTTCTTTACCTACTTTGCATAGGAATTGGGTAGATGAGGGTAGACTCAGAAAGTGAGAGTGAAATTTAAGAAAGAAAAACAGTAAAATGAAAACCTGAAAAATAAAAAAGTTTACTTCTAAATGTATGTACGCAACTCAGGTTGGGGGACTAGCATGTAAATACAAATAAAACGGAGTTAAGTACGCTTATTGATTGAATCCTATTGTGAGAACTTAAGAGGAAAAGAAACTAAGGAAAATCTGAAATTTTCCTCTTGGACCTGAGGAAGGTCCAAGAAAAAACAATGTGGAAGTGAAGTCAGAGAGATAACATCAGGACATTGGACATCAGGAGGAACTTTCAGGTCTGATTCTAGTGCCAAGGAAGCCATGAACCAAGGAAGCCATGCTCCTTCCTGGAGCCTTTCAGCATAGGAGAGTTACTCCTCTGCCAGCGCTGGGGAAGGGGTAACTTTCCCATACCCCAGGTGAAGGAGCTTTCCTTTCAGGGCCTTCCTGCTAGACAGACTGTGCCGGGGCCAGCCTGGTTCTCCCAAGTGCCCTCACCATGGCCTCCTTCATTTCCTTGTAATGATGGGGTTGCACATGGGGGTAATGATGGTGTACAGGAGGGAGAAAGGTTTGTCTTTGTCAGGCCCGTGTGTGCTGTGGGGGTTCATGTAAGAGAATGAGGTGTAGAGAAAGATGACCACAGTCAGGTGAGAGGCACAAGTAGATAAAGTCTTCCCCCGACCTGAGGAGGAGGCTCTGCTGAGGATGGTGGCAAGGATGCACACATAGGAAGTGACAATGAGCACCATGGGGCTGAGCAGCACCACGATGGCATCGGCAAAGATTGCCCTCAGACTAAACTGAGGGTCCCCACAAGTGAGGCCGATCACCATGGGGGCCTCACAGAAGAAGTTTTCTATGTGGTTGTCTCTGCAGAAGGGCTCTCGGAATGAAACATACTCTAGAAAGATGCCATTGATCAGTCCAAAGAACCAGGCAGTTCCCACAAGCCTGAGACAGACCTTCTAGCTTATGATCTGGACGTAGCTAAGTGGGTAGCAGATAGCAACGTAACGGTCATAGGCCATAAAAGCCGAGAGGATGCACTCGTCCACACCAGCACAGAAGACAAAGTACATCTGGGTCATGCAAGATACAAAGGAGACAGCGTGGTTCCTGACCACGAGGTAAATCAACATCTGTGGGATGGTAGTAGTGATGAAGCAGACATCCAGGAGAGACAGGTGGCTGAGGAAGAAGTACATGGGGCTGTTGAGCTTGGGGTCTGTTCAGGTGATAAAGATGTTGAGGCCATTCATGGCCATGGTGAGACTGTAGAGGGCCAAGAAGAGGGCAAAGAGCAATGCTCATGTGGAAGTGGAGCTCTGCTGAAAGCCCACGAGGATAAATTCTGTCACTGTGCTGCCATTCCTTAGCATCTGGGGCCTGCTTGAGGAGGGAAGATGGGAAAAGCACAAGGATATAGCTGTGGGGTAACAGAAGGTACCAACTTGGTCCCAGAAGCCCAGTTATAAAACAGGATAGATGAATGGTGGTCATCCTTTTGGAACTTAGTAAACTCTAGTAATTTGGCAGTGTTATGGGGTGGTAAAAATGCCAGGGTCACCACAGGCTGCATACATAGAATCATAATATCAAAACATGAAGGAAGTGCTGGTTGTAATGTGCTTTACTCTGGTTTGATCAGGCATCAAGTGAAGTATTGCATCTGCTCCAGAACCCTCAATATTGAAGGATTAGCCACTAACCAGGATGTGTTCAGAGGTGAAAAAATAAAATAATTGGGTCTGGGGCCCATGCCAAATGAGGAAAAGTTTTAGGAATTGAAGAATGGAGTGTGTGAGGGAAAGGGATGGTGGCTATCAGCTTATAGAAGATTGTATTTAGGAAATACTTGAGATATTTGAAGGTGTATTTTTCTAGAAGAAAAAAATGCTGAATCTCTGTGTGCCTAATTTTTTTTTTTTTTTTTTGAGACGGAGTCTCGCTCTGTCGCCCAGGCTGGAGTGCAGTGGCGTGATCTCGGCTCACTGCAAGCTCCGCCTCCCGGGTTCACGCCATTCTCCTGCCTCAGCCTCCTGAGTAGCTGGGACTACAGGCGCCCGCCACCGCGCCTGGCAAATTTTTGTATTTTTAGTAGAGACGGGGTTTCACCGTGGTCTCGATCTCCTGACCTTGTGATCTGCCCGCCTCGGCCTCCCAAAGTGCTGGGATTACAGGCGTGAGCCACCGTGCCCGGCTGCCTAATTTGAAATGATGAATGGGTTGAAGTTTCAGGGAAAATAAAAACATTCTAATCCTCAGGATTGTCCCTCAGCTAACAGTGATTTGCACCTTTTCTGGAGACATGTCAAGCTCTTCCCAGTCACCCACCTATTTCCAGACTCACTCGCCCAGCAGTTGCTGCTGCTACCGCAGCCACCCATGCTGTGCGTGCTGGAGCTGGGGACTGGGTGGGCGCTCATGCATGCCTTCCTAACAGGAGACAGTTTTCCTCCTGGGGTTGGAATTTACGGTTACACACAATTAGGTGGAAAGGATCCAACTATCCCTGTGTGAAAAGGGAAGCTATGAGCAGGGCATATATTTAACCTTTCTGGAATGGACCTTCAGAGAACTTTCAGCTGTCCCTTTGTCTCTGGCAATAAATCTTGTTCTTTTTCCATTTTCAGAGAATGAGTAGTCACAATTCTTATGCTCTTATCTCTCTATTGTAACTTTTAGGAAGTTGTTATGTTCATATTAAGTCTGTCTTATGCTTTTCATCTTGTTTTGGGGTTAGGATGTATCAGATCCCTTCCCTTCAGATGCTTATACTTTTTTTTTTTTTTAACTTAATTATAGAGACAGGTGCTCACTATGTTGCCTATGCTGGTCTTGAACTTGTGGCTTTAAGTGATTCTTCTGCCTTGGCCTCCGAAAGTGCTGGGATTACAAGTGTGAGCCACTGCACCCAGCCTCCTCACCTTCAGATGCCTATAGATGATAACTATATTCCTGCTTAACTTTCAGTTCTGCGAGCCATTTCTCTTCATTTTCTCCTCTCCTACTCCCTTTTCTATACACTCTCACTCTACACTCTGTTAGTCTTTTTTCCTTTTTCAATCTACTTCCAATCCTCATTCTTCTCCCTCTCCTTTTCCCATTTGTGGTGATGGTTGCCTGCCGTTTATCTTACTCTGGTCAAACTCCCCTGTCTTCTCCATGTCTCTCAATCTCACATATTCTCGATCTGGATTTAGAGCTACCTACCCTCTCACTGCCACTCCTTGCAGCTCTAGACTCCCTCCAGTTGTGATTTGATGTTAGGTCAAGGTAGTGACTGGGCAGTAGGCTACTCCCATCATCTTTACTTTGGGATACTTTTCTTGTGCCTAGGACTTCTCTTGGGGGCCCAGAAAAGGAAGAGAAGGGCAGAAAGCACTGTTTAAGATGTTTCTTGGAAGCCTGTGCTCAGTGGACATGTTGGGGCTTAGGTCACAGTCTGGGCAAAACAAGTCAGTGAGCTACACTCCAGAGAAGCCTGGGATTTGTCTAAGAAGAAACTGAGATTTGACCTGAGGAATTACTAGGCCCTACTGGAAGATAAATGCTTACCTGTGGTTTATTGTGCCAGAAAGAATTCTGTGATACCCAGCATTTAGCGCCTTGTTAGCTACCATTAGAGGTTAATCGGTGAAGGATTTGTCTAAATAAATGGGACAATATCATGGAAATCACATCCTACCTCATTCTGTTTCTTGGCTGATAATGATGTTTGTCACTGAATCAAGTAATGAGTAACAGAAAACATCTCATAGTGTTTGAAGAGAAGCTGGTCCAGGTATGATCATCTGACCTGGCCGGCCACTCTGGAAGAGAAGGTGTGTCTGATGACTTTGTTCTTTTATACTTGTAGAGATGAATGTCTACTTAAATGACATTGATAAGTTGCATGTGTATACACTTTATAGTATAGGCGTGAAAACTTACATGCCCCTTGAAGGAGTGAAAGATGTGCCATCCCCAAATATGCCAGACTGGTATATTATTATTATTTTGAGATGCAGTCTCGCCCTGTCACCCAGGCTGGAGTGCAATGGCATGATCTCGGCTCACTGCAACCTCCGCCTCCTGGGTTCAAGCAATTCTTCTGCCTCAGCCTCCCAAGTAG